GCAGGACAATGCACCTCACTTAACAATGCAGATATTTTGTGGCCATTAAAACTTAGTACCTGACTATACTACAGTGCTAACTGATTATATAAAATGACAAAGTTGACTTGGTTTAAGGTAGTAAATCTACTTTTGTGCTCCTTGAATCAACACATAAAGTAAGTGGTAAAAGGAATTTCATCTGGACAAATTATAACCCCCCCCCCCCCCCTCTTTTTTTTTTTAAAGAGTGGGGGCCCAAACCACATCCGATGTAGTTTCATAGTTGAATAAATATGTTACACAAGGGCATTTAGACTGAGAAAAGGTTAATTATGGCTGACGTCTAGAATTACTGATACAAATGACAAAATAACAGAACTTGCCTTGTATGTGGAAAGTTAATCTTGTGGTTGTCTGGGAGACATTCTGCTCAGATGCAAGTTCCAAATTAGTTGGACGATGAAACACAGGGGGTGAAGCTGGAATCCAATGTGTGAATTCACTGCAATAAAACACATACAAATAAAATTCAACAGTATTATTAGGAAAATAGGGCTTGAGTGTAGGCCATATCCAGTCTCAACATGTAAAGTTTCTGACATTCAGAACTTACCATATTTCGATAACACGAGGCGAGAAAACTGGAAAACCACCCATGAGCTGCTCTTCACATGTGGATCCTACTGGCTGAGCTTCAGCAACTTCAGGAATCAGTGACCAGACACTATGGGGACTGTGTCGATCCAAGTTCACAAGCCAGTACCCTGAATCTTGGAATCGAACATGTCCCAAGAGATCATGGAACATTCGTTCTGTATGCTGAAGAAGAAAGTTTTCACCTTATATGGAACCAAAGACCTATTATCCTACTCATCAGAGCCTATCATTTGGCTCCATGCTGAGCCAGATAAATCTTGCCTGTACCCTCATACTCTATTTCTTTATAATCCACTTTAATATTATCAACACATTTATGACTATCAAATGGCATCTTCCCTTCAGGTCATGTCACTAATAATGCTGGTAATGTTGAAATTTTATATTTCATATATCATAATTTACTTACTATGACTTAAAGCAAACACTGTACTTCTTTTCAACATGTGTTCAGATGACTATGGGTCATCAGAAAAACAGGCTACCAGCTCCTTTGTGTGCAAAAAGGATGCATTCCGTGAAGCTGTTAAACAACATTTGGTTAAATGAAAATTAATTACCCATTAATCTGAAGGCAATAACTTGAGATAATACCAGGTGTCCATAAATTAACGAATGATTTGAAGAGTGTGTAATTATTTATTTATAACACACATGAAAAACTTATGTATGAACTAATGTGACAACATGCAAAAAACCTGTATGTTATGTTACAGTTTTATAGTATGTATTATACATAAATACTAACATGCCCTTCAAATCATCCATTAACTTATGGGCATCTGTATATACATACACAAATAATATTATACAGGAAGGTAGTACACCATTGATTATAATTGCAAGTACTTTTAAATTTTTCAATTAACTTACTAAAATCCATGCTAAAGAGCTTCCTTGAAAAGCTGATATTTACTTAACTAGTCAAGAATTTCCCTGCCTTTATGAAACCCAAGTTCAATACCATATTCAAAAAAGTCTTATCATTTGACCACATCCTGAGAAAGTTTAATCTAATCCCCATCTTTACATGTACTTATCTAAGCTCCATTTTAATATTATCCTCCCATCTATGCACAGGCTTCTAAAGTGATCTCTTCATTTGAGATTTTCCAATCAACATTTTCAATGCATGTCTCATTTTTCACATGCCTGTAACCTGCCCCACCCATTTCTAATTGATCTAATCACAATAACAATACTATGTGAAAATTGAAAATGTGACAGCTAAACAGCAGATTACATAGCAGTCATAATAACAATTCTATACTATTAAATGTGAGTTTTATACAAATTAATGACACTTCATGCACATAGTCTTTGAAGACAGGTACACAAAGGTTACAGTACAGACAGCACTTACGAAAACATAGATCCTCTGTGGTGTTGGTGCAGAAGGATTGGCACTATATGGAAACCCCAGTGGTGTGAGAATTACTAACAAGATGGTCAGCAAGTGGAGTCCAAATGCACCTGCCATGACCTGCCAAGGCCTCCTCACTAATATGATCAGGGGTGTCTAAAATGAAAAATGAAATTGGGTTATTTTATATCATTAAAAAATTGGACTAAAATATGAAGAACAACTAACTAAATCAGAGTACTTGAAAAAGCTAATCATCACTACGCTACCCAAGAAACTGCTTGCCTTTCACAAAGCTCAAATGTTCATTACCACGTTCACAACAGCCCATCACTGGTCCCTGACCAGAGGCTGATCAATCTTATCTAAGCTCCATTTTCCTATTTCATGAAGATCAATTTAATATTACTGTACCATTTATCCCTAGATCTTCCAAGTAGCCTCTTTCCTTCAGGCTTTCCAACCAAAATTTTGTACATTTCTCATCTCCCTATGCATGTTACACACACTGCCCATCTCAATTTCCCTGATTTGATCATAACAACGCCAACAACAACAACAGTAAATAATACAAATGATGGAGCTCCTAATTATGCTATGTTCTGTTCAGTCTCCCTGTCACTTCATCCCTGTTAGTTATTAGTTGCAAATATACCCCTCAGCACTCTGTTCTCAAAAACCCTCAATCTGTGCTCTTCCCTTAATGTGACAGACCAAGTTTCACACCCATACAAACCAACAGGTTTTGTAAAAATATAATTAATGAAATCTTCTACCAACTAAAACTGAATTCTATTCTGTTTTGACATGAATCAATAAACGTGAATAACCTAACTGTGATAGTATAAATTATGTTTCTTACTTTATTAAATGACACCTTCTCAACTTTACAGGTTATATAGCATAGAGGGTGACTGTCAGGATAACCAGCCTCTAGGCCTATAATGGAACACAAGCCATCTCAAGTACAAAGCATAAACATTATAAAATATTAACCAATGTTTGCTGTGTTCATAATAAATATGATCTAATACAGCGAACACTTCTGACAGTGACCAGTTCCAGGGGACAGAAATATGAGATATTTGATGATAATATAAACCATTCTTTTCACAGTCCAACTATTATGAACGGCAAGTCAGCAGGGTTGATGGAAACATATAAAATCTAATAACTGCACAAAATCTACTGTAATTAGCGAAGAACAATACAAATGACTAAATCCATTAGAAATGCACAAATTGAATATGTAACAAAAATAACTAAGAAAACTGACACATATCAGAATCCTGTAAACTACTATTGCAACTTCTTAGAATGTGGACAGCATACATAAATTTAAAATTTGATAAACTGCATGTTAATACAGCATTCATAAAACAGCAGGTAAACTGACCAGCCTGAAAATCATTATCTGGATATTCCACATGAATGTGGTACACCTGGTCTCCATATTATAAGCATCTCATTGAAATAATTCTTAGTTGAAGTCAAGTAGAAGACAGAATACTATTATATGTACATGAGAGTTAAGGAAGTTTTTGTGGCACAGGAAGCCTGATAGCCAAGCAGTGTTGTGTACATGTGTAACTCCCCTATTCCTGAATGGAGAACATTTGTCTTAATACAAAGATATTTCTCACACATTTTTATTGCTTTCCACTGTTTGTAGTATCGTTATTCAATTATTTGTTTTGTAATTACTGACTACTTTATAACTTCCAGTGTCAAAGTATTAAAAGTAAATTTTACATCAGATTGGAAGAAGCACAATGTTTTTCAGTCTGCTTGTAGTACAGCATGACTTCTCAGGATGCATACACCATAGGAACTTATTTATACAGTATCTACACCAAAACTGATCTATTTAAACATGAGTTTACTAGCAGAGAGAACATGCTTAAAATGACTTAGCAATTTCAAGATAATCTAACAATGTTCCATCATATGTATCAGTGAGTGAATGATGTGTGAACACAGATGATAATATTTAAGACAGCAATTACTTTGTTTTAGAACTGCATAAAAAAAGGGAGTAAATGTTTACGATTAATACTGTCAAACTCAACTGTTAAAGAATGTGATAACTGAAAAGAACAGAATATACTCATGTAGATATCAGACAAACAACAAAGGAACATTCTATCAGACATTTTTTGAAGATTGCTGTCTTCTGGGTTGTATCATTTGGTAGAAGTTTATTAGTGTTTCAGAGGTGCTTGCTGCCTCCATCTTCTGGGTGATGAGTAAGTCATGCACAAGGAATTGGTTTGACACATAGGAACCAGTAAGTCAAGACAGAGCCTTGGACAGACCAGTAGACAATAGGGTCAAGATTGAGAGCCAATAGGACAGAGGGGTGTGACGCAGCCTGGCCAGCAGGAAGGGGAAGGACATGCAAGAGAGAGAGGTAAAAGAAAGTAGTCCTTCCCCTCCTGCTGGCCAGGCTGTCACATCCCTCTCCTTTTGGCTTCCAGGCCCTCATCTGATCCTCACCCTACTCCTCACTGGTTGTCAAGGTTGCCTTGAATGCCTGGTTCCTATATATCAAACCAATTCCATGCTCATAGCTTACTCATCACCCTGATCATGAAGACAAAACAAAGGCCTCTGAAACATTGGTAAACTTCTACTAGACTACAAGCTACTTCAACTCAGAAGACAGCCATCTTCATTCTCAATGTTGTGAGAACCTCATTTCCTACTTACTATCATTTCAATGAACTGGTTTCACCTAAAATAGTTTATCTGTAGGATTCATGTATTACCTTATCTCACATTTAATAATCTGTGTGATACCAATCTTTTCTGCTTATGTAATGCCTTTTTATTTAATAGCATTATAAAGAATCAGGGTGATTAAGCAGAGAAGAAGAAGATGGGCGGGGCATGTAGTGCGCATGGATGGGAAAAGAGGTGTGCACTGGGTATTGGTTCGGAAGCCTGAGGGGAAGAGACCGCTGGGGAGACCTAGACGTAGATGGGAGGATAATGTCAGGCGGGATCTATGGGAGATAGAAGTTGAAGAAGACTGGATTTTGTTGGTCCAGGACAGGGTCTGGTGGAGGGCTTTTGTTAATTCGGTGATGAACCTTCAGGTTCGGTAAGCTATCTAGTTAGTTTAGTTAGTTAGCATTATAAATAATTGCATAAACTGCATAACAATGAGCTTCATGGCCTGTACTCCTTACCTGATATTGTTAGGGTGATTAAAACAAGGAGGATGAGGTGGGTTGGACATGCAAAATTCATGGGGGGAGGGGAGGGGTGTTTACAAGATTGGGAGGCCTGAAGGTAGGAGACCACTGGGAAGACTTGGTGTAGGTGGGAAGATAACATTAAGATGGACCTTAGGGAGATAGAAATCAAAGGAGCTAACTGGATGCAGCTAGCTCAGTATAGAATCTGATGGCAGGCTTTTGTGAACACAGTAATGAACCTTTGGGTTTCATAAAGAAAGTGGGCTATTCTTTGGCAAGCTGAGTATACAATCAACTTTTCAAATAATTTCCTGCACCGTAGAGTGAGTGAGTAAGCATTATAAAGACTATTTAGGGGTAAGTTTTACAATTTTTTAGAATAATCTCTTTTTTGGTTCATTTTTAGTGCACCTATTTGTATTCCTGTACTGTAGACTATTGCAGAAAAGACGTAATCAAAAGTAGAAACTTTCACTGGAAACTGTTATAATTAAATTAAATTAAGTCTGTGGCGTAACAGCTCCAGAGAGCTTGACTGCTGGCCTCATGTTCACATGCCTAAGCAGAGGTGAACGATCATCCAACCAGATATAAGGTGACGTGTGGTCAGCACGACGAACCCCCAGCCATTGCTAGTTTTCATGACCGGATTACACTACTCATTGGAGCTCCCCAATTTCCTCACGATGCTGGGTTGGCACCGATCCCATGCACTGGTCGAAAGCTCATGAGAAAATTTCTTCTCCCCCGAGACTCAAACCAGCGCACATTCCATATCGCCGGTCCGAAGCATGATGCCTCAGACCACGCAGCTACAGCGCGGGACTGTTATAATTAAATTATGGAAAGAAATTATACGTTTCACCACTTCTGAAGACTGTGATGCCTTTTGCAGGGGATTCTGACATATGTAACTAATTAGTAAACAGATCTTTTAAATAGTGAGACAAACAAGGCCCATTATATGGCAGGTAAAAAAAGACGAAATACAGTAACCAATTACTACTGGCAAGAAATACTAACCACATAACTTGTTGACAAAATACACAGAAGAGCTGAAAGGATTCCAATTATGAAATCTGGATTTTTAACAGGCCCTATTCTTCCAGTGATGGGTATAAAGAAGCCAAATCCCATTACTGTATGGTACAAGAAAAAAATAACTGATGGTAGTGTACTGGAGATGTACACAGTCAACCACATATACACTGAAACAGACAACCATACACAACAATAACTAGAACTTCCAGTTGCTTCTGAGACAATTACATTATTGAAGCACCACCTTAATGTGAATTGCGGTAGGAGTCTACCCTGATTATGGAGAAAATACATTCCTCCAAAACAATGGTAACCACCAATAACACCACATGGTATCACAACCCACAAAACCACAATCCACATTTTCATCCCAACAAAAACCTCAAATTTCATATAATCATCAGAACTAAACAAATTCTGGGAATTAGGTTACCACAATGTCTAAAATTTTAATTTTGGTACCTAGTATATTCTGGAGTACTGTTCTAAAGCTTTTCTATATTCACATTTAATGTATTCTTATTCATCATGCAGACTGAAGCTTCAGCTAATGATGAAACAAGAAGATTTTCTCTACAAATATCATAACTACTGATTTAAGACTGATAACAGCTAATCCATGTGTTACAGACGCTCCCTTTGCATTGAATTACTGTAAACACCTTGCTCTAAACATATGTAGAATGATGTTCAGTATATGTGCTTGAGTTTATATCAAGAGGACAAAGCCTGTTGTTGTATTTTGCACACATTACACTGTGATAATACAGGCTGATCAAAAGTCCACATAACCGATATTAAAATATTCATTGATGGCTGCAATTCAATTCAATTTAAATAGATTAATAAGCACACAATATCACTCTGACTATACAACAGCCCATACAGGTCATGTCATGATGTAACCTGTTAGTTGTTGTCAAACAGCTGAAGTGCAAGGATGCCTTTTTCAAAAGTCTGAAGGTTGGTATGGTAACAGATGTTTGAAAAGAAAACAGCTTAATTAAGGGTTCTTTTGGAAATAATATAACATGCCAAAACTATTTTAATGTAAGGATGGTAACTGACATATAATAATAATCTGACCTGTAGAATTTGTAAGGTAATGTGTTATAAAGACATCCACTAGCAGATTTAGAGATTTCAAAATCTGCACTACACAATCCTTCAGAATACTAAAAACACTGTGCCAACAGCACATGCTTTTATTATTTTATTTTTATCATTTAAGCCTTCCATACATTTTTAAGCTACTGAAATCTGTCAAGACATAAATGAGTTACAAGTTTCACCCAAAGTTTTGCACAAAAAGCAGTTTCCTGCCTACTAAATGACCCACAGAAGAAGGGAACTGCTACCCTACCTTTAATGTGTTGATACTGTGTACAAACAGTAAAAAATTTGTTCTTCTGCTATGGCATCAGCTACAATAATAAAAAGGATATGTTAACACAGTAAGAACTTACAATTATTTCTCCAGCGAGACAGATTGAGCATTAAACTGCTGAGTGTGGGAAACAACACAAGAATCATGAATACAAATGTTGATCGGATGCCACTGATGGTCCCTGCTAACAGCAATATGGTCCACAGACACTGAACACCGTTCACATATAGCCGACATTGCACACCAAGAACGAAAGGAGACTGAAAGATACAGAAACCACAATCAACAGTTCATTATATCCCTGCTACCAGTAATGTTAACTGCTCAGACAACTGTTCAGAAATAATCAAATAATTAAAGTAGAGCTACATCTGTGCCTCATTCAATAACATAAGGACATATTAGGGAAGTGGAGGTACTGTCCATCAGCCAGGAGAAAATCCCTGCTGGGGGAAGACGGTTCTGGTGCGAAGCAGGGGGAATGTTTCTTATCAGGTGGACTAGAGGGCTGCTATTGGTGGGAAGTATGACACGCCAGAGAGTTACACTACTGCACACAGACTGAAAACATCAAGCAGGTAAGAGTAGCGTGTAGTTAGTGCACCTGTACTGTGTTATGTGGGTGTTGTAATAATATTCTAGATTCAATCACTGTGCCACTGTGAGGTAATCTTAAAGCTATACCCGTTAGAACACATGTAAGCCTTGTGTCTATTGTTTGTTAGTGGCTGTGGAACGAATACTTTCAGGATGGCTAGTAGCAACTCGTCACTCATCGCGAAATCTTGAGCATGCGCGTACATCAAATTCCTAGCAGGGATTATCTCCTGGTCTGTGGACAGTAAATGTGTCACTTATTATACCAAGATTCCATTGGTTAGAAATTTGGTGTAAAAATCATTAACTAAGGATATTAACATCCTAGAATTACTAATTATTAATTTGAGTGCATTAACTTAATTTAAAAAATTTACATTATTTAGTTCACAAATCTGAAATAAAATAATATATTCTGATCATACTTCAGAAATAAATATGGAATGGCAACAGTTATCCTCAACTATGAACAAAGGTGAACAATCAGCTTCATGTCCAGCTGCTTTCCCCACAGGGAAGATTCCAAATACTAATTGGATGGGAGACTGGATGATTCGCAGACAAAATCCCTGAACCCCAGTGCTCTACACATATCCAGTCAGTTACTAAGATATATGCAGAGTTGCAAGACAAGCCTAATGCAATAATGAAATTAATTACTGATCGTATATGTTATCACACAGAGTAGCAACAAGATGTGAGAGATGATAGAAGTCAACAACACAAGTTTCAATCCCTTCTTAATAACTACATATTTAAAATACAGAATGATCAAAAAGTCATGCAACTCATATTAAAATATTTATTGATGGCTGCAATTCATAACAATTTGACTGGAATAATAAACACACAATAACACAGTGACTATAGAAGAGCCCACATAGTTCATGCTATGTTGTAACCTGCAGCAGTCTGTCTTGTCTTTCAACACTTGAAATGCAAGAATGTTCTTTTCAAAAGTGCAATGAATGTTCATTGTCAAACACAACATGGCATCTTCTTTTTACTTAATTTGCCAGAATGAGTTCTCCTGTGCCAAACAAACTGACAATATCTTATCTGGTGAACCATTTCCATGACACAGAAAATCACTGGGTTGGATCAAACATGATGAAAAGGGTGAAAGCATGGTTAACTGAATGTGGTGGACATTCCCAGCACTTATTATAATATAACACTACTCTTTTTATTTTCTGATTTCAATCAAATTTATTTTTTGACAAATAGAAGATGTGTCAGGAATAGGTTGTATGACTTCTTGATCACCCTCTACAACAGTGGTCCCCAACACGGTGGCCGTGGGCGCCATGGTGCCCGCCAAGGCTTTTTTTGGGTGCCCGCGTTTATACGGAAAGAGGTTATACTGAATATTGAAGGTCGTTCAACCACGAACATTATAAAATCAAAGCACAGATTTCTACTTATTAATGCCCAACTTGACGGTTGTTTGCAAGCAGCAACATCATCCTATACTCCCAAATTTGAAAAACTGGCCGATGAAATGCAGTGCCAAACATCACACTACCTTCCCACTTGAGTAATAATAATTGTACTTTTGAAAGTACGTATTTCTGATTGCATGGTTTCTTGCATCATTAAACGTCATGTTGTTTTGTGTATTATTTGTGTCCATATCTTATTTGTCCAGAGAAAAGAAAATTTGGCTTTGTTAATTGGTTGGTGCCCGCCACGATCTCATAAACTCTCAAATGTGCCCGTAGGCACAAAAAGGTTGGGGACCACTGCTCTACAAACCTATGTAATAAGAGGTTCTAACAATTGTTAGTATATTTATTTGACTTCATGATGCATCAAATGTTGAAATTATGAGTAAAGTATGGGGGGATGATTATGAATGATAAATTGGATGTGATGAAAAAGATCATTGTTTATTTTAAACTACTATCAGGATTGACTAAGGAAAACTACCAAAAACCTGAGTCAGAACAGCTAGTTCCTATTTAGGATCTGTATTGTGTATATTGCATATTTACAACATTTTGTATGCATGAATAGTATGAGCCATGT